AATATCAATTGTACCTCGATATTACTGATCGGAAGCGGCCTCCACCTAGGCATTCCGATCACTTGACCTTACTGAAGAATTAGCTCTGTAATAATTCTGAACCCTTTATCGGAAGAATACACTTGTTGGAAGGACACCATTCCTTTCAATCTCCCACTTGTCCTTCCGGACAAGTGTGCATACAGTGTATAACTCATTTCCTATGTCACTTAATGTTTCTTTGTGAACTATAAGGTAAGATTCTTTGTCATCCTTATTACGTTCAGAAGTGTTTCTCGATCTCCGAGTTCGACTGTCAATAAGCAGATGATTTCTAAAATCCATCTGAGCACGACCATGCATTCTCGCAATCTCGCTCTTCGAGCGGCCTTGTAAACAACAAAACATTTTTCCCTATTGTTAGTAGGGGGACAATCCCAGTCTTGTATTGTAAGTTCTTCTTACTAGGAGGACATAGTCTCCTGAGTGTTCCCGTTATGATCCCTAGTTACGGCAGACGTTTGGAAACATTAAAGAGCCTAGTACTCAAACAAGAAAACTTCACAGTACTCATGGTCGGAGGAAACAAGTTTCGATAGTCATAATGAGAAATGTACTTATGACAAAATTTAAATTTTCTTAAAGTACTCTCATAGGTCTTATCCAGTACAGTTCCAAACTGTACCTGTGCAAATGATTTATGACCGTCACATCCTCGCAGCACAAGAAACGATGTTGTAAATCATACTACACACTAATCTATGGCGGTTAGGGGTGGGACTTTTCAAACCGAACCGTGAAACCGCCCGTTACCGAACCGAACCATCACGGACCGATCCGTTTATAAACCGATAAATTTAAACTGAAAACCGAACTGAACCGTTCAATATCAAACCAAAACTGAATCGAACCGCTCAATGTCAACCCGTTACGGACCATAAACCGATAACAAACCAAACTGCTCAAATCCGAACCGAAACGAAACTGAACCGAATGGTTTATAAACCCGTTAATGACCCGAACCATTTATAAACCGAAACCGTTTAAACCGTAAAAAAAAACCGTTTAAACCGAACCATTTGTAACCCGCTAACCGTTTATACCGACCCGTTTATGAACCGAAACCGTTTAAATCGCAGGAAAAACTGTATAAACCGAACCGTTATAATCTGCTAACCGTCTAAACTGAACTGCTATAACCCGTTAAACCGTTAAAATCGAACTGTTTTCAAATCGCAACCTGTTTAAACTAATCTGATTACAAACTGCTTAATTCAAATTGAATTATTTACAACCTAAATGGCTAAATACAATTAATGTTAATAAATGTAGATCTAATCAAACGGCTTAGGTTTATACAAAGTTTTATATCAACTAGACCTAGTCCAATGGCATTATTAATGTCGTTTTAGATTACTTATTTATTTTAATTAGTATCAAATGTAACATACTAGTATTATTAATTTATTATATATTTATATATATACTTTAATTTAACAAAGGTAACAATAAATATAAATTTTAAAATATATACAATAAACATTACTAAATGTAGATCTAATTAAACGACTTAGGTTTATACAACGGTTTATATCACCTAATCCAACGACATTATTAATGTGAATATTGTCGTTTTAGATTACTTATAATTTTAATTAATATCAAATGTGAAATGTAACATACTAGTATTATAATATATATTATATATACTTTAATTTAACAAAGGTAACAACAAATATAAATTAAAATTAAATAACTTTAATTATTCCAAAAAAATACATTTCATCTACATTTTACATTAAAAATAAATAAGTTAAGGATTTACATTTTACATATGATCATAAATTATCCTAATAACAAAATTTAACCTAAAAAAACATTCCTAAAAACAAAAGGCAGCAGAATCTTGAAGCAGCAGCACAACACAGAGGAAATAGCAGCAACAAGCAGGAACCAGCTCACGCAATAACAGGTCAGCAACTTATCAAAAGCAAGGAACAATCTAAGCAGAAGGGACTCAGCAGGAACTAATTTTTGTTTTTCAAAATTGCTCTCAGATTTACGTTTATCGTACCATCGCTGAGCAATGGTTGTTTTAACTTAAAACTTGAAAAATGCTGCCAGCAAGTACGTATACATTGAAGTCTCAACATAAATGACAAGGGCAACGGTGATTCAAGAAAAATTAAAACAGCAAGCATAAGAAACAGCAACAACAAAACTTATCATAAATTCATAACACAAAAGGCAGCAACAATACTGAAGCAGCAACACAGCACCTCAAGCTGGCAGGAGGCAGGAACCAGCTCAGGCAGGCAACAATATAGGCAAAAACAACTCAGTAGGGACAACAACCAAAAGGCAAAAGCACTACCAGCAGCTCAAAACAAGTTCAAGCAACTTCAAAACTAATTTTTATTTTTTAAAATTGCTCTCAGATTTACATCACTGAGCAATGGTTGTTTTAACACAAAACTTGAGAAATGCTGCCAGCAAGTACGAATGTACGATTGGTATCATACTATCATTGGCTCATTGCCTCATTGAATCATTGGTATGTAAGTAATTAAGTATGAAACTATGTAACTATGTACGTATAATCGATAAACATATATGTTAAAACTTAAAAGTTTAAAACATTTGTTGATCGATCTAATTGAGTACTTGTACTTCCTTAATTATCGATTTATTGTATTCTAAGTATCAACTCATTAAATCATGGTCATGACGCGATCTTTAAAACAATCATGATTCATGACTTCATGACCCAAACCGCTTATAAACCGAACCGGCATGATCCGAACTGTTTATAAACCGAACCGACATTGGACTCGGTAAACCCGCCCCTAAACCGGCCCATTTCAAACCGAACCGATATGATCCGTACCATTTATAAACCGAACCAACAGTGACCCGGGTAAACCTGCCCCTAAACCGACCCGTTTCAAACCAAACCGGCATGATCCAAATTGTTTGTAAACCAAACTGACATCAACCTGGGTAAACCCGCCCCCTAAACCGACCCGTTTCAAACTGAACCGGCATGATCCGAATTGTTTATAAACCGACCCGCTTATGACCCAAACCGAATTTAAACCGTAAAGAAATAAACCGAAACCGAACCGACGTCAGCTAAATCAAACCGTTTCAACCCGAACCGCTCCAAATCGAAACCGACTCACACCGAGGTCAAACCGAACCGCCAAACCAAAGTCCCACCCCTAATGGCGGTCATCAATCGTCCATTTGTTAGATGACCTCGATTAGGGACACTTTTCGATTTAATATTCAATGTTCACTTAACAGGTGTTTCTTTATCCAAGACATGGTCTTGATACCCTGTTTTGAATATTTCCGTAAATAGAATGGACTTATTATTTAATTCTAAACCACAATTAAATAGTAATGGAGTGAATGATAATTTTGCACAAAAATTAATTACTCCATTAATGAATGGTTTTAATACAGTGTCTTACATTAAATATCCTATTTAATTAAAACACATGTACAGGCCAGTCTCCAACATGCTTGATTCCCATCGCCTCAATGTGCTTGTTGTTTCACTTGAGGCAGCAGTTTAGTCAAAGGATCGGCTACATTATCATCCGTGCCAATCTTACAAATTCTGATTTCACCTTCGGATTTCCATTCCCTTATCATGTGAAATCGCCTTTGTACGTGTTTGACCTTCTGGTGCTCTCTTGGCTCCCTAGCCTGAGCGATAGCTCCATTGTTATCACAATAGAGGTTTATCGGCCCCTTGATTGAGGGTACAACACCAAGTTTGCTAATGAACTTGCGAATCCAAACAGCTTCCTTGGCAGCTTCTGAAGCGGCCAAGTACTCGGCTTCAGTTGTAGAGTCTGCAGTGGTGCTCTGCTTGACACTCTTCCAGCTAAACGCTCCTCCATTCAGACAGAATATGTACCCCGACTGTGACTTGAAGTCGTCTCTGTCAGTCTGGAAGCTAGCGTCGGTGTAACCTTCAACAACCAGCTCTTTGTGGCCTCCATACACCAGGAATTTATCCTTGTTCCTTTTCAGGTACTTAAGGATGTTCTTGGCCGCAGTCCAATGTGCCTCTCCTGGGTTCGATTGGTATCGACTCGTTGCACTCAGGGCATACGATACATCTGGCCTTGTACATATCATGACATACATGATCGATCCGATTAGCGAAGCATATGGGATCTGGTTCATTCTTTCTCGCTCAACAGGTGTCTGTGGACACTGTTTCTTGCTGAGAGTTATGCCATGGGACATGGGTAAATGTCCTCTTTTGGCATTCTCCATGTTGAATCGAGCCAGTACCTTATCAATGTAAGTACTCTGGCTTAATCCAATCATCCTCTTAAATCTATCCCTATAGATCTTGATGCCCAATATGTACTGTGCCTCTCCTAAGTCCTTCATTGAAAAGCACTTGCCCAACCAGCCCTTTACGGACTCCAACAATTTTGTGCTGTTTCCAATGAGAAGTATGTCATCGACATACAGGATTAGGAATGCAATATCACTCCCACTGACCTTCTTGTATACACAAGACTCATCTGGATTCTTGATAAAACCAAACTTGCTAATGGCTTCATCAAATCGCAGATTCCAACTTCTGCTGGCTTGCTTTAGTCCATAAATGGACTTCTTCAGCTTGCAAACCTTTCCAGCGTTGCCCGGATCGACAAAACCTTCTGGTTGTGTCATATACACAGTTTCTTCCAAAATTCCATTAAGGAAGGCGGTTTTGACATCCATTTGCCATATTTCATAATCGTAATATGCAGCAATCGCTAGGATGATCCGGATGGATTTTAGCATTGCAACTGGTGAAAAAGTTTCATCATAGTCAATCTCGTGGACTTGTCTATAACCTTTTGCCACCAATCTAGCTTTGTATATTGATACATTTACATCCTTGTCTGTCTTCACTTTGAAGATCCATTTGCAACCAATGGGTGTATAATCCTCGGGCAAATTCACCAAGTCCTAGACTTGATTTTCAGACATGGAGTCCATCTCGGATTTCATGGCCTCTTGCCATATCCAACACGCCCAAGCAAATCCACCATGCAACCATAGTGAACAAGTATTGGGGTTACACCAAAATCATAAACCATAGATTTAAAAAGCTGCAAACCTTTCTCCACCATACCAGAATGGCTACAAGCAGACAACAATGACAATAAAGTCCTCCCATTTGGTCTGAACCCAGAGCTTAACATCTGTGAGTACACACATAGAGCATCACTTACTTGACCATTTAAACCATAGCCAGCCACCAAGGCATTCCAAGAGCTAATGTTCTTCTGTTGCATGCTTTTGAAAATCTTCTCAGCATTCTGCATACTGCCACATCTTGCATACATAGATAACAAGGCATTTGCAAGTGACAAATTCAAGCCTCCAAAATAGTTTTTACGAATTGTGTAAGCATGTAGGCATTGACCTAGAGGAAGACTAGCTACGTCAATGCATGATGAGAGAATATTAATTATTGTTATAGAATTGGGTTCTGCTTCTAAGATCATTCTCTTGAAAAGTGACAGAGCTTCATGAGCCAGGTTATTTCTCACGTAACTAGCAATCAAAGAATTCCACAATATTACATCTCTGTTTGAGAACCTATCAAATAAATTTCTAGCAGCTACCTCATCACTACAGTTCGTATACATTTCAATGAGTGCAGTACTTAATTCTATGTTTACTTCAATCCCATGCTTCATCACATACCCATGTAATGATCGACCCAGATTAAGATAAGATTCATCCTTGCAAACAGTAAGAACAGCAATAATCGTGTGCATATTAGGCTTAATTTCCAAATCTAACATCTTCTCAAAGTAGTTCCAAGCATGATTTTTTAATCCATTACCAGCCAGAGCAGAGATCATAATGTTCCAGGACACTACATCTGGTCTAATCAACTCGTCAAATAGCATCATTGCATTGTTAATACAGCCATGACGTGCATAGATTCTCAAGACTGCATTTACAATCGACGTATTATTAGAAAACCCATTTCTAATTAATTTAGCCTGTAAGGACCTACTGACTCTCAATTCACAACCCATTTCTATACATACAGTTAAAAGAATAGTCATTGTAGCTTCATTTACTCTGAATCCTTCTAATTGCATCCTAGAAAACAATTTCCAGGCCTCCTCATGTCTTCCATACTCTAAGCAAGCTGATATCGTTGAATTCCATATGGCAATGTCATAAATAGGAGCAGATTCAAATATCCTACGTGAAGATTCTAGTTTTCACATACAAATTAACCAGTGCACTAATGATATGTAGGTCTTGAGCATACCTAAACTTTATGATCAGTTGATGAAGTTGCATGCCCACATCCAGACAACCAAGTTCAGAACACACCTGTATGGCAGCCAAAAGCGAAACTTTATCACATACTACCCCTTCGATTAACATTTTCGCAAAAAGCTTTAGCGATTCAAGTTGATCACCAACACCTTTATAGGCATTCATCATAATATTCCAACTAACAACATTCTTCATAGGCATCAAGTCAAACACAACACGAGAAGCCCTCACATCGAATTTCACATAAAACCCAATTAAAGCAGCCCCAAGATAGCAATTTGAAGGAAAAACACCATTCCTCAAACAAAACCCATGTATCTCTTTCCCTAATCTCAACTGCACGAGCTCCCCACACGCGATAAGCAATGCCACCAATGTAACCGAGGTAGGCTTCAAATTCTCAAACCGCATCTGCTTAAACAACAACAACGCTTCCCTATACAAACAACATCCTACATAGCTATTAATCATCACATTCCACAACACAACATCTCTTTGAGACGTTTCATCAAACACATGGCGGGCATCTTCAAGTAACCCACATTTCCCATAGAAATCGACGAGGGAAGATCGAACCCGAACATCATTTATCAAATTTTTACTCTTGATCTTAGAATGGATCCTTTTGCCTGTTTCAATGGCATGAAGCTTTAAGCAAGCCTTCAAAATCAGAGGCAAAGTAGTGGAATCAGGTGAAATGTGCAAATTTTCCATCTGGGAAAATGTTTCTAGGATTGCCCGATCATTTTTAAGTCTGAATTGATCTTTTATCATCGAATTCCAGTAATTTGGGTCGATCTTGGGGGTATTATTGAGTGAAGAACAAAAGCTGTGAAACATTTCAAAGTGTTAGTTATAAAGTTGATATTTGGCGGGTATTCTGGATGTCATAATATACAGTATACAAGTAGGTTTTTTTTTTTAAAAATGCAACATATTTGATACAACTATACAAGTACTTGTATTTTAATATCACCCTTAAATTACCGATTAGTCTATCCAAGTTTTGGGACCAAAGGTCTAGGATGCACATACAAGCTAAGTATCAGATTAGCGTATACATCTGGTATCTCGGTTTTTTTTTTTTTTTTTTTTTTTTTCAATCCGTTGTAACAGTATGTGATTTAAGGATATAGGTGTGATATGTCCATTAGATATGAGTTATGACTAATGCTAGCTACTCTCTCAATGGAGATAACATTATTATCTTTTTATAAAATTGTGGATGAGTTTTTGTAAAAAATATTTGAGGTCAAGACTGAAAAATTACATCAATAATGTTTGTATTACAAGTAGGAAGTTTTTTCCCCACAAAACACCTTAAGCGGCTTACTGGCCATTGAAACCTCTCAGACAATCTAAGTAAGTGAAACTTTCAAATTTTGTACGGAGTACGTAGTAGATCTACAACCAATCTATTTTTCCATTACTTTTTTGGGAATTGAATTTTTTATTTTAATTTTCGAATAATAACTTTTTACATTACATTCAATCAAACAATTAGTCAGTCACTCAAGCTCACTATAATATGTACAATTCTGTTTCACCAAGTAAAAAAAGTATCAAATACTCAAGTCTTGCTACTTTTAAATTAAAGTTTTGGAAAGTAACCAAAGATGGCTACCATGGGATTTGGGAAGGAACCAACATATAGGAAGCGCATATTAGGATCCTCTCCATTTCTATGTCTGCATTTCCTGTCTCCAGGTTATGACACCGAATTTATCCCCATCATGCATAGCCAACAGTCAACCGGAGAAACATACTCACGAAGGATCTTGTTCCAGGAAAAGCAGACAACGATCACCATCCGCCTCCTGAATAAATAAAAAAGAGCTAGAATTAGAAGTTTACTCCAATAACTTCATAATTTACAGGAAGGGAAATGAGGTATGAAATCAGTCCACACAGCAGTCAATTTTCTGCATGAATTAACCATGGAAAAGGCCAAATACACAAAGTCAAAAGCCATAAAAACACAGAAACTGGTTAATTTCCACACGATCCAAGCAAATGAACATGTATAAATCAAAATTATAGAATTAATGACATGTACTGGAAATGGGAATGGTTAATGAGCAGCTTTATCAATATTACTCTGTATCATTTAAAATCATTGAAGAACTCTTAACATCTCAGCATTACAATCCACCCTCTCCCAGTGGTAAAAAAATAAAATAAAAGGTTCTGAATCACTCACTTGTAAGTAAATGGGCGACAAGCTGCCAATTATTCAAAAATACCCAGCTGCCGTATTAAGAGTAGACAGTGACAACTAATCTCTGAACCCCAGACAGGATAGAATTGGATTAGAACCAACACCAATGGAAAATGCATAGATGTCACGCCATTGGTAGCTACTCAAATGCATCTCTAGTTCTTCTTCTATCTCTAGTAGCCATTTTCTCCCCATATCTCAAAAATATGTCTGCTAAGTCAAATAATCCGACTTCTCTCAATTTCTTCCCTACTTCCTCAAACATGTATACACCTTCCTCATTTGAGTAGTAATGCAAGAATTTATTATAGTCAAATCTCGGAACCTGAAGGCCTCTTTTCAAGGTTCTTTCAGTGTAGTTGGTGGCTTCCAGAACTTCCCCCGCTTTAACCAAACCCCCAACAAATATGGAATCAAAATTTACAAGGGGATCATTCCCCTTTCTTCCTCTCTTTCCTAAGTGCCCTTGCAACAACATGATATAGGTGTGCATAATAGGTTCACATCCTTTTCTTATCATAAGCCTAAAAACTTCCGTTGCCTCGCCTGCCTTCCTCAATTTAAGAAGTCCCTTGATCAAGGCATGGTACATGCATATATCTGGCTTCTCAGTATTTTCCACAATCAAATATGCTTCTTGAGCTTGATTCTTTGATACAAGCCCATATATTATTGACGCCAATGTTGCATCATCTGCTAGGATTCCTCTCTTCTGCATTTCTTCAAACACCAAATAAGCCTGGGAAAGCTTACCCCTTTTACACATCCATTTGATAACAATACTATATGTTGAAAGTCCAACTTCCTCCATCCTTTTTACCCTCATAGTTTGAAAAAGCTTTAGTCCTTGATCAAACTGATTATTCTTGAAGAACCTCTCTATCATCGTATTTACAGCATCTATGTCAGCTTCGATTCCTTCATCCATCATCAAATTCCACAATTTTGAAGCTTCAATCACATCCCCAACATCACAAAACCCACAAATTAAGTGCTTATAAGTAGCCTGATTTGGCTTGATACAATCCTTCAACTTCACCACAATAAACTTAGCCTCTTCAACCAGTTTTTCCTTACAAAGGGTTTCAACAACCTTATTTAAAGTATCCAAACTATATCCATACTCGTGAGAATTCATCAAGTGAAAATATTCTACACATTTCTTCAACTCCCTAGCAGCAGCCAATGTTTTCAAAGCAATCCTAAATGTCTTATCATTAGCCATTTTTTGCTCCGCCACTTGACACAATAATTCCCAAAACAGATCTATATTTCTAGACTTACCAATCACGCCAAGCATCTTATTAAAGGAAACAGGGGTGTGGGTGAACTCAGGGCAGGTCAAGGTATACTGATAGAAACGGTAAACAGGCCGCCATGAAAGGGGAAATTTGTTGCATACTTGGAGGAAAAATTCATGATTAAGGCTGAATTGAGTTCTTAGGAGGTGCATTCGGAGCTTGGATTCTGATGCATCTTTTTGCTGGAACAGGATTGTGCAAACTTTAAGGAGATGGTCCGAATTGACAGGAGTCAATGAGTTAATTAGCAAAGGCGTTTGAGATTGGTGGAGAGAAGGATTGGTTGCAGTTGCGGTTGTGATAGTGGTAAATGGATGTAGTGTGTGAGTCTGAGTAAAGACGTTAATTAACGGCCTGGTGATTATGATTCTTCTAATGTTCATCTGACCTGAACAAACCAGGCATACAGCATATCAGGACTCCCAAGGGACAACTTTTTTTTTTTTTTTTTGAGAAGCAAAATGTAGAGTGATTTCCATGAATATTGTTAAAAGAAATCAAAATTCCACAATTACACTACATTTTACAAAAATTCCCTACATACTGTCACGTCATCTATCTTTCTTTTTTTTTTTTACTTTTTTGTGTGTGCAGAACCACTAATTGAATTAGCGGTTTTATACTTAGATAAACTACTAATTCAATTAGCGGTTTGTTTGAGTAAAAAAGTCACCTTACAAAAACTTATGGGTTTAATATAACGTAAAACCGCTAATTGAATTAGCGGTTTTATGCAAGGTAAAACCGCTAATTCAATTAGCGGTTTTATGTAAGGTAAAATCGCTAATTTAAATAGCGGTTGGATGACGTGGACGATAGGTAGGGAATTTTGATAAAAAGTGGAGCAATTGAGGAATTTTGAATTCTTTTAATCATATCCATGGAAATCGCTCCAAAATGTATAATCGTTAATTAATGGACAAAGTCTCCGACAGTACACACGGAGGAGGACAATGATTCACCCATACTTGCTCTACACCGAAAGGCCTTAATTTAGCTAAATGATGCGCAACATAGAGGGACAACAGAACTTTGCTAAAACATTTACGAGTAGATTAGAAATTTTCATGTTATCAGCAGATATAGGTAATTTCATATTCAATTATCTCATAATTTTAGGGATATTTGATTCAATAATCAAACTAGGCTCATAATTTTGGTTATCTTAGAATCTAGAAATTTTCATGTTATCAGCAGATAGGTAACTTAACTTGTTCTAGCACATCATCCAAAGCACATCGGAAATAGAATACATACAAGTATAAAAGAGGTCTATTTCATATTCAATTATCCCATAATTTTAGGGATATTTGATTCAATAATCAAATTAGGCTCATAATTTTGGTTATCTTATAATTTAGAACCAATAGTTGAGATTTTGGAACCCTACACTTAATGCACTGACAATTAAATTAGATTGTGAAATTGATATAATGATAACAAAAACCAAACAACTTACCTCAGAAGCTGCTTCAATGGGAGATACAAGTGTTAGATTCAACGGAGAACGTCAACTGCGCTTCAATGGATAACTGAGAGAGAGAGCCTTATTAGAAGCCATGACCTGCCCCTGTTATAAATGGGTTAGATCCGTCTAATAAATAAATGGGACGGGTCTTTATACGATCGTTTAATTGTGGGCAGGGCGGACCTTATAAGGGTTTTTAAACTTGTTTTAAAAAGTACGGGTATTAGTTTTCCTTTATCCTTTCATTTCTTAAATACGGAGTACTCATATTATTTTCATATACCAAACCTTGTATCAATTGTTTGTAAGTTTTTTGGGGTTTTTTTATTTTATTTTGAAAACGACTTAAATTACTATGTACATTAATTCAATTGAGTTTACAACAAACGAAGGAAACTAAAGTAACATAAGTTACTATAGGCATAAGAATCCCTTACACAACACCAACTTGTTCTATTCACCTGATTTTCACTGATATGAACTTATCTGAACTTATTAAAACTTATTTTAATTGTAATTTGTACTAAAGTAACCCTTATTAGAACTTATTAAACCTGAACTGAACTTATTTGAACTTAACTGAACTTATCTAAAACCATTAACGACGTTTACATTTAAGCTTAAAAACCATTAACGACACCAACCAAGAGTTATTAAAAACCATGAGCAACGAGGTCTTGAACCATGGGGCTTTTAAGTGGGTTGCTTGATCTTGGATCAGGTTAGCTTGATTACTAAGGGTTACCATAATGAGAAGTTGGGAATACTACTACACTTGTGGAGTTAATCTTTTACAGTAGTAGTCAAAATAAAAGAAGAGGTTACTCGAATAAACATATAGAGTTACTTAAATTTTTTTTATCGTATAGTAAATTACTAAATTGAGGTTACTCTATGGACAAATTAAGGTTGCCCACATGAATAATTGATGTTACTCATAATAACGAATAGTGATTATGACTCTCAAAGAAGTACCAAAGAAGGCAAAATAGCAAATACACAAGCTAAGGCTTGGTATTTAAGTTGTTGAACTTTGTGCTTTATATTATTAGCTTGACAATGCTCCATGTCATTAATTGTAATATGAGGGTTGAATGACCGAAACGTGGCGAGATAACCCTTCTTTGTCTTGAGTTTTAAGAATAGTTTAGGTAGATACTAGATAATATACATATAGCATAACCATTCTAAATTTCTAACTGTTTCTACATATTACAAACATCCCTTCTTGAGCATAATATACAAAGTTGAGAAAATTATCATATGTTATAAAACAAAATTTAACTCCTAAGGAAGCTCCAAGGTCCAGTTCCGGTTCCAATTCTGCCAAAATAAATAAATAAATAAATAAATAAAAATTGTTAAGCTCATTAGATTCTTGATCATGAGAATTGACAAGGCAAAGCTTATTTCGAGCACTATGGGAGTGTTTTGGTGGATATACCTCCAAAAACCAGCAAATGCACGAAGGCTCATGTAAATAGTTAGAGCCACCCAGATACCAATGAAACCATAATGGGAAGAAAGAAATAACAAACACAAAATGCTCACAACAGCCACCATAACCTGCAGAGATTGAGAGCTTGTATCAGATATTCGTTCCTGGATCAAGTTTTTAATTTAAGAAAGAAAAGTATTTGTATGAAAAATACCATGGAAAAGGCTGAATATGCAAAATCAGATGCTCCAAAGTTGATGCCGTCAAAAACAAAGGCCAACGCGTTAATGGGTTGAGTAAGAGCAACAAACTGGGATAAAGATAGCATAATTAGTTCAACTCCCTCGAGATCTAATTCATCTAAACAATTGATAACCGAACATATGAAACTTGTAGAAAAGCAGTCATACTGGAATGCCTATGGTTATCAGGTTCAGGACATCGACATCCTTGGTAAATAATCTTGCTGCAAATTTTAATCCAAACCCGAGCATGAAACACAGGACCAATCCTAGAACAAAGCCTAGCTGCACATGTAACACACGAAACCATAATTAGATTATGATGCTTTTGGCATGATAGAAAAGATACTGGTTTGAAGATCCTATGTTTGTAATTGCAGTAAGAATCAAGGAAATATATATCAGCTTGCCTGCAAAACTCTGGAGGCAGTCGATGTTGCTCTCTCAAAGTCATTCTTTGCAAAAGCACTAGCAAGTATTGCCTGTAAAATGTGGAGAACCTCTAAGACTCTAAAATAGGCTTAACTCGGTCCATGACAAACAAATCTTCCACAGCATGATATTATACTGTATACAACATTAAAATGTAGTAACTTGAACTTGCATACTGATACAAAACAAATGATTAGACAATGGACGTAGATCAAGCAAGCTGAAATGAAACCTGGCCAGCAACAGCGAGTCCATCAGCAAGAAGGGATGTCGCTAACCAAACTTGCAAGCAGACCTGAAAAGCGGCCATTGGAGTGGGCCCTAAGCGTGCAGCCATAGATGCAGCTAAGGTCACGCAGAATGTCACAGCTATGACCCTCATCAACAGAAGAAAGCCTGCAGGAAGAGGTAAAACTCAAACACTTTGATTACCATAAGTTGTGATTAGGGTACTTTAGATAACATAGTTAGGTAATTCTTACCATTTTTAAGAAATCGACCAAATTTGAGATCTTTCATACTGGGAGGTAGGAGATTGACTAGTTGAATTAGTCTCCAAAATAGTATGATTGAAATTAGGTACCTATTAAGATCAACATAGCAAATCAAACTAAGCAAAAGATACGTACAAGTAGCACTTTAAGACATTATTAGAACAGTTGTGTAAACTTACTGTGATATAACATGGGCAATTGCAGCACCACTAACACCCAACCGAAAAACAAATATAAGAATCGGATCAAGAATTATGTTAGTTACATCCCCTGCCACTGTAAATTGCAAGAAAAAGAATTGGTTAATGATAGCAGATCAAGGCCAGGCAATTAGTGAACCAAGTCAGTTAGCTTATAGGCTCACCAGTAGCATACAGAGGAGTCTTGGTGTCCTTAAAACCTCGAAAAATTCCTTGCATAGCTAAGGAAAGAAGAACGGCAGGTGCACCAAGTGACCTCAATGTCAAGTACTTTTGAGCCGGGGGTAGCATAGTTGAGTCCTGTTAGAGCATAATAATGTGGCAAATATTGGACTAAGATTATCGAATATAAAAGTCAGGCTATTTGCCTAACAATTAACAGAGGAATGGTAAAATTTCAATCTCTATTTCATCACCCAAAAGCTCTGAAATATATACAGAAGTTCTTCATCGCGATTTATAGGAAAATGTACTTACAGGTTTGACACCCATATAGTTCAATAATGGTTTTGCTAGAGAAATGAGAAAAATCGCTTGAAGAAGTCCGAGGATTGCACCAATAACCAAAGCCGATGAAGCAGATGGTATGCTCCTCCTTTGAGGCTTTGAACTTTCAACACTAAAGCTGCTTGTTTCGGCCTTAACACTCTTACCCGAATCTAACAGAAAATAACACTCCTAACGTTTAGAACTCGCCATGTCCAATAATGTAGCAATTTCAAAAACATTAAAAGTTGCTATTTCAAGACATACAAAACATAAATACCTGATTGAGGTAATAATTCTTTGGATTCATTAGTACAATTATTAGATTCCAAACTTCCTAACTCTTGTTGTTCGGAACTCACTTCTGCCACGGCATCTTCCTCGGCCACGAAAGAAGTTGTTACACTTACAAGAGGGAAGATTGCAATTCGAGATACTTGATTGAAAAGAGCTATAGATACCCCAACAGCAGCAAGCTCAATAGGTCCTAACAAAGTTACATCAAGCATAAAACCTCTTAACTTAAGAAGGAAATAAAATATAACACTAGTTTCAAGTCTTTCAACTCAAAATAATGCATGCTTACATTAACTTCAAACTGCATAGATACACTGTTCTTTTTCAAAATAACAGACTATTTTCCTATGTATATTCCAAAATGAAATACTTCATAACATTTATACTAAGGTATAAGAGTGTATTATATATGTCACGATAACTCAAATTGAATGATACGATCTCGAATGATACGATCTCACATGATAATGTTTTTTCTTACTCCGTATATAAACTAGTGCATATAAATTACGAGGTTTTTTAAAACTCGATAGTAAAGTAGGAAGAACAAATAAAAACGAAGGAAATAATGCATACAAATTAGTAGCAATAAAGGTACATCATACCAATTTGGCCAATGAAAGCTGTGTCAACTAAAGAAGCAATAGGATCAGCTGTTAAAGCCAGAGCAGCTGGTAATGCAATTTGTGATATTTCCACCCCAAGTTCATCCATCTTGAATACCATCCTATTTTACATACATCATATAATATAACCAATCAAAAAAAAAAAAAAAATCAATACATAATCTCTTTTTACTTCCAACAATAAAATTAAAGAAAAATCAGTTTAAGCTCCATATAACAATTTTAACAACATACCCCATATATAAATAAATTTATAATATGAAATTGAAAAAAAAAAAAAAAATAGTAGCAAGAAAAAAATGGAAAAAAAGAAAATAAAGAAGGGTAAAAAAGGAAACTGTACCTAGCATTTTTGAAGAAAATGAAAAGAGGAATTTTGGTCTTAGTGTATGAAAAGCATAATCCATCTTCCTCTACCATGGCTTTGAACAGCTGAAGCTCTTATTCAATTTAATGGGTTAAAGTCTTAAAGATGATACAGTATTTTTTTCACTCAATAGTAAAATAATTCCACAAAAACGGGTGAAATTAATTAATCTTCACTAATTGATATGAATGATGCTAAATTCTATTTGAGGAGCTTAAGAACAGAAGAAAAACACAAGTGCCAAACTTTTCCAAAAGAAAAATGAAGGAATAAAAAGAGGGAAATAAAGGATAACCAGAATTTTGGCTTTTTAAGAAACAAGAATTTTGCTTCCTGTATTCTTTTACTTAACATGTACGGGGTGCATGGTATTTTAGACGTTCATGTGATAACGAGAGAGATAGTGAGAAATTGCGTACAAGTAAGAAAAATGTTACAATATGTATGAAATTTTCATAAAAGGTAAACGTTACAATAAAACTGAATTTTGTTTTACAAAAAAATCTGGCTATGTTACATAAACTGTTCACCTTAACAAAATTTATGGTTCATATAATAAAGAAGATATAATGAAAAGACATGTTACTTAAATTATCAGTAATTTAAGACCTTTCTTCTTTAAGAAAGAAGGGAGAAAGAAAGAGAAGCATTTATGGGGTCAGTAAAGAAAAAGGAAAGAAAGACATTTGGACTGACTTTTTTTGTTTTTTATTAATTTGATTGTCAGTGACTAGTGAAGGTTTAATTTTGACTAGTGAAGGTTTTATTTTTTAATTTTCTAGGGAAGATTTTATTTTGGACTAGTGAAGGTAACGTTGACGAGTGTCTCACTGAATTCCATGCACAGTAATTTCTGAGATCCTTTCCTCAATTATAAGAGCTATAATCAATGTGGCGGTGCGGTTTGAGTAGGAAGTTCATCATACAATCGGTTATACATACTTAGAATCAAAGTTGATCTAGTGGTTGGAGGTCCTCCTTCCACCCCTTTGAGAGGGATTTGATTCTCACTCTAAACAAGTGGGATCCAATAATGTATTTCGTATTTCCGTGTTATTGTTTGATTTTATCTATGTGATCATAAGGTATAAGTACATGAATCAACGAAAATTATATTATACACTTGATATAATCGGATGAATATTAAAAGTTGCTTAAATTGGAGAATTTGTTTGAATCATGGTTTGCTATTCAAAACCATATTAGCATAATTGCGGTTATTATGGTTTATGGTTCATGGTGTAGATTGTAAACCACATCAACCAAAAGTTTTTTGTGTAGAATATGCCCCTCGTCTAAGATATATTATCATGTGGAGAAAACTAAATTTTTTTTTGAAGAAAAAATACTGTGTATAACAAGAAAACACATATATGCTTAGGGCCTGTTCTGTTCAGTTTAATTTCAGTTCAGCTCCAATCAGTTCACTTCAGTTCCTAATTTTCTTCTCTCATAAACAATTCATTTTAGCTCTATAGCCTCTATTCAGTTCAGTTCAGCCCCAATCAGTTTAGTTCAGTTGTTTTCAGTAAATCGGAACTGACCCTTAGTATATTGATAAATTTAAATAGCTATAATAATTATCGAAATAGAATCCTTAAAATATCAAACCAAAAAATCGTAAGGGTTGAGATACGGTCAGAATCCCTCCTTACCTTAATAAAAAAATTATTGAAATAGAATCCTTAAATCAGCAAAGCTTAAAGGCAGGTGTAAAAGGTAGGCAAAATTTAATTTTGAGCAACTACCAAAAGTTTCTCAATTGGCTTCTTTCATAAGGTGTGGAAAAAAAAAAAAAAAAAAAAAAAAAAAAAAGGTTTTCTAGCAAGTTTCAAAAAGTAGGTAGCCCAATTGATCCTCTAAAACACGTTACACTTCAGCAACATATTCAGAGTAATATATATTTGAAAACTACATTGCCAGTAAACCTAATAATGAACGCCAAAAGAATTACAAAAAACACATACGCGTATGCATGTTGTGTCGGGTGATCTAAACTTTCGCCATTTATATACGAAATAGCTAGCTACTACTCCCTCCGTCCCTTAAAATTTGGCCCTTTTTCTTTCTTAGGTCATTCTTAAAAGATTGTCTTACACCAATAGTTAATGATCAAAGCATATGCATCAGACTATACTCGTATTTCTCTAAAATTACATCCTTTATCACAACAAAATCATTGGTGGAATGTCGAACTATATCGTACATTGGGTTTCACTTGATTTTTGGGCATCTAGTTCCTCCAGCAACATGAATCTCTCAAAAGTGTCATACCATAGATTGCACAAGATAAAATATTTGGAGAATAGTAATGATATTAAAGCTTAGCCTGCTAAAAGAGAGGCTAACAGTAGGAGAGAAAGAATGCAGATTCTTTGGAACTCATTCATCTCAACATCAACTTTTAAGAAAAAGACTAGTTAAATATGGTCAGACTTATGGTGTAAAATTTCTTTTGATAGTAGCCTCACAAACTGCTCAAAGCAATTTTAATAGCCACAAATCAAAAGAATATAGTATGGATCGTTATCTTTCAAGAAGACGAAAATCAGAGAGACATCAACATCAAGAGTGAACAAACTATGCCTCTTAATTTAGTAAATCGAGTTGATGATTAGAAGTAAAAATACTTACATGTGTATGAATGATAAAATTCGCAAATTATTAAACAAAAAGATTCTTATACATACCAAAAAAAAAAAAAAAAAAAAAAAAAAAAAAAAAAAAAAAACATTATACATACCAATCAATTGAGTTCCAATAAAATCAAAAGAGAACAGGGTCTAACAATATTATTCCTGTTCTTTCAACCAAATGAAGAGTACACATTTACAGTCATACACTCAATAATGAGTTTCCATTGTCATCTTCTCAGCTTCCAGAAGTTAAAAGCACAAAATACAGAGAAAATCAAGGGTTGAGATTCCATAACCCTACGTCGGCGGCAATCGTGGACTTGTGGTCCAAAAAGGATCTCTAAACTTTGTTCACCATTGGTATTATATGCCTGTCACAACTCACTAGTTCCTATCAATAAGGTCCATTTGAATTTTTGCGTAGATGGTTTTACTACAAATTATGTGATGTTTACATGACATCCCTACTTATCAACAAGGCATATACAAAACCACAAGTTATCTGCTTTTCATATCCTTAAGAGTCTAAGTGGATACCCACATAAATCAAAATCAATGGAATTTTCAGGCCACAAAGGCCACTAATATAATGCACAAGAATACATTATTTTATGAACCACGATAAGCACATAAATGAAAATTCTCTACTCATATAATTGTGGACTTCTCAGTTGAGTGAATAATGATCAGAATATATATTTATTGACAATCAAAAAGCCAATTTGTTAGAAATCGTGGTTGGCTCAGTAGGAACTACCATTAGCCTTCAACATCCACGGTTGTGGTTTGTTCTTAGGTGCCATGTAGAAAGGCATCAAGTACTTTACAATTATACATTACCAAAATTTTGAAAAGCAATCAATTTGTAAGGAATTAACAGTATTTCTCGTGGCAGTACAACAAAGTTGAACTACTTTGGCTCTTCATATTTCTTTATCTGTTCCAATTCGCAGAGACAGTGTGGGGAAATAAATATTCTTTAAATAAAAAATCGTAAACAAAAATTCAGAGGCTACCTCTAGGAACTCGTATATAATAAGCAATATCTGCGAGAACTACTGAATTGCAGGGTCAGCAAATTCTTTGAGCACCATCAGGTTACCACAATCCAATAGCCTTCCACCAAATGCCTCCAACTCCGAGCCAGATTATTAAGTTGACTATTGAGCAGAGGAGACCAAATCCCCACCATTGAGGGAGAGGAACATAATTAGCACCGTAAAAAACTGGGGCTGAACCAATTCCGTAGTGAGTGAGGCCACCCATAAGATTGGAGAGGAATGAAAGAACTATTGCTGCCAAAAAAGGTGGTGTCCCTAGCGCACTTGCAACTGACAAGAAGGCCGTGAACATGGCACCTATATGTGCAGCTCCACTAGCAAAGAAGTAGTGAGAGTAGAAGTAAAGAAGAACTAGAATACCAAAAGACATCTGCCATGAAAGGCCTAAACCACCAACAACCTGCAAGGAAAAACATATGTCAGGTGATGTTGCAGCATATCACTACAGCAAAATTCTGATCAGTAATTACACAAATATCTCACATAAGCCTTTACAACTATACATTATTCAACAAGGCACCTTTAGAGCAACTCCAATGGTTGCTTTTGAGGGACTAGCTTGCAATTTTTATAATTTTCAAGCTAATAGCCAAACCATTTGAGGATAATACACTAATTAGCTTGGCCAAGCAAATTACCTTTAGATAATTATTGTTTTTCTAAATATTACTGTATTATTTTAAAAAAATAGTTGAAAAAAAATTAATGACAAAAAATTACCTAGGAAAATTATAGCTGGAAAAGATGATGTGGCAATTTAAGCTAGAAGATAAAATAGCTTACCATTAAAGTTGCTCTAAACAATTATAAGCCTCATTCTCATCTTGAGGTGTTTAATATAATAGATCACTTTCTAAATTTAATGCAACAAACTTCTATTTTGTTTAAATAAATCCTTAATGATACCTCAAAGGTTAATAAGTTATAACTAAAAACTCTAATAAAAAAACTACTTGTGGCATGTTGGTTAAGCTCTTTAATAATGACCCCAATATTAAGTAGGGATTAAGGGAAACCACCCCCCTCACCCACCCCTCTTCAACAAGAATACGACCATAAATCAAAACAGCAGATTTCAACACACAATTGCTGGGAAGACGGTCGGTTCAATCATACTGGTACAACTAGAGCAGAAGAAAAATAGAGGAAAAATATTCAGGGGAAGAGGAAAGAACACAGACCTTGACCACAGTTTCACTGAACCAGGAAATGAGACCGTACTTGTTGAGATAACCAGCCATGGCAATAAGTGCAGCAAACCATGTAAGGGTATCCCAAGCCACTGACTCTGATAAGCACTCTTTCCAGGTGACAACCCCAGTAATGAGCAGCACTGATAATCCAAGAATTGCAGCAGTGACTGCATCAATTTTCAAAGCTCCTCCGAAAACCCACAATCCCACCTGATGAAAGTATCACAAGGATAACATATCAATGTAACATGACATGGTATCTTTATATTAAAACTGAAATAAATGTACTACTACATAATGAAGATGTACAGAATGGAAAATCATTTTTCTCAACGAATAAATGTATCATAATTGAAGTTCCTTAATGACCTCAAAATTGCACAACTATTTAGCCCGCAATTAATATAGAATTGATCAATTATTCTTCATAGGTCAAGCAGACAAGCACATATAAGTTTCAATAAACTAACAACCAGTATACTATTGATGACTGATACATAAACTAGCACTGGTGTCGCTAGATGCAAACTTCACTAGGTCTTTTGCTGCGCGTTATCATGGCAAATGGGTATCGATATCTAATATACTCTCCTTGCCAAAGCAATTGCAACTTTGCAAGTATTCAAAAGTCGTCAACATTAGGTCAACCAACACAAATTCAATTTCTAAGCATGGCTAATTGAACATTTGAACATAATACCCACTATCTTAATCTAACATACAGGCATTGATTAAAGACTCAGATTCATAAAACATTCGCAAGCTAAACTGACATCCAATGCAGCAAATGCATAAACAATTCCCTAACATACTAACCAAATGACTCCAAATTAAATTCATCAAGACTTGCAAAAAACTTCCAATGCAACTAAAACAAGGCATTACATTACCCATTCATACCATGAATTAACACTTGCAAAGTTGCAATTTAAAGCA